CTTGCATAATATGTCGACACCTGCATCCAGCAAGTGCACTGGGTCAGATCATACCGGCCGTTGTACTGTAAGTGGCGCCGTTTCCCTACTGAAGGGAAGCGGACTCCACAAACAGAAAAAGGCCGATCCGAAAGCTACGGAAGACCGTGAGAGTCGGGCGCCGTATGTTTGTCACACCGAGCGTTTCCCCCCAACTTTCGGTACCTGAGACTCTGAGACCATCGCAGATCGATCAGGGCTCCAGTCATGATTTTTGACGGTACTCTCAGCTTGTTTCGCGACGTCGGATCTCAAGGGACCCACGTGTGCGCACGCGCCCGCAACAGCCAGCATCGTCCGCGTTCGATCCCGTGCGTCCTCCGAACAGCGGTTGCACTGTGTAGTCCCTGTGACGGTGACAGAGCTGCCCTGGTCCAGCGGCATTCGGCAGGCCGCAACTATGCCCGACTATCCCCGCCTAGCAGTTGGCCAGGGGCCGCCAGAAATCCGGCCAAACGCATCGCGTACGAACTATTCCCCAGCGGCAGCTTGCCCTTCTTCTGCAAAGAGACTGGTTGGGCCGCGACTGAAACCGACGAGCCCGAGCAACAGGAGGCCTTGGACGAACACGGCCACATGGCTTTCCGCGATGGTGACCTGGAAGGCCGCGTAGAGCCCGCCAAGACAGGCGATGAACGCGCAGCCCACTACCTTGACGAGGCCGGAGAGCTGCCTGCCGCATCCCTCCTCCTCGGCCTCCTCCCCCTCCCCCGCCTGCTCCTACTCCCCTCTCCCTCCTCATCCTCCTCCATTCCATGCTCCATCTCCCTCCTCCACATCCTCCCAACCATCATGGCACTAGTTCACGTGCTCACCACAACCACCATCGTCATCGACATCATCAGCATCATCAACAGCAGCAGCCTGCTTCTCCTCCTCATCCTCCTCCTGCTCCTCCTCCTTGTCCTCCTCCTCGTCCTCCTCCTCCCCATCATCGTCATCATCACCATCACCATCATCACCATCATCAGCATCCTCATCATCATCAGCATCGCCATCGTCATCATCATGATCGGCATCATCTGCATCCTCGTCAGCATCATCATCAGCATCGACATCATCATCATCATCATCATCATCATCATCATCATCATCATCATCATCATCATCGTCATCATCATCATCATCAGCATCATCATCATCATCATCATCATCAATCGGACGGACGGACGGACGCCGATGCCGCGGCCGGGAGCGGCCGCGCGCCGCGAGGGCGACGGCGGGGGGGCCGTAGCCCCTAAGATGTGCAAGTGCGTGTGTGGAGCTCGAACTCTAGGGCTCTCCTCAGCTCTGCTTTGTTGTTGGGTTGGAGCTTTCACCAGTAGCAGGGGCCTCATCGGATTGCCTTGTTCCCAGAACCACGTTGCTGCCCTTGTGTGGTTTGTCCGTGGCCTTGGGCGGTGAACTCCTGAGTTGTTCCGTCAAGATCTCATCAAACATGTTGTCACATTTGCAAGTGAACGTGCGAATCGACGCCAGCCCCAAATCCTCTGCTGTCAGATCAGTCTTTACATCGAACACCCTGTTTCCAGAATAGAACGAAAATGCGAGGTCGTCGGATTCGCCCTTGAGCCACAAATAGGATTCGAAAACCGTTCCGAGATGAGTCCGCAAGCCAGCTCTCAAGAAACATAACTGTTCACTGTCGCTCTCAATGCAAAGCACCATTGTTTCCGGGGGACCTCCATCATGTGTCACTTCCGCATCGTTATCGCCTGGCCAGTCCGAGACGGTGTGGATGACACCCTCACCTGATGGAGCCGTTTCGCTGTCGCAGAAAGCGTCGGCAGCTCATCATCAACAATCAGCATCATCATCATCATCATCATCATCATCATCATCATCATCATCATCATCATCATCATCAAATCTCATCAGCACCATCATGATCATCGTCATCATCATCAGCAGCGACATCATGGTCATCGTCATATCAGCCAGCTTTGACGCTAAATTGATAGGAGGACTGGAGGAGGACGAGAGGAGGATGGGAGAAGGACGAAAGGAGGACGGGAGCAGGACGGGAGGAGGACGGGAGGAGCAAAATCAAGCAAGCGGAAGCAAGCAAGCGCAAGCGAGCAATAACAAGCAAGCAAGAACGAACGAACGAACGAAAATCATACGCCCTAGGCGCGTGGACTCGTGCAAACTAGCTACTCATGCAGAAATTGACAACTCTAGACTTCCATGCTTCTGCATCACTCACATCGACGTTCAACTGCGCAGCGACCTTACCAATCTGAGCTCACCATTCGTTCTTGGGGCGGCCAATCTTCCTGACGTACTTCTGCGTGAGAGGGGTCAAGCTTCCCGGCACGAATGTTCTTTGCCTTAGAATATCATCTTCCATCGCCCTTGCCACCCTGCCATATGATAACAGTTGTTGTTGAAGAAGTCGCCGGTTCAAGCAAGCAAAGGCAAGCTGGAGCAAGCAAGCGAGTGCAAGCAAGCAAGAGCAAGCAAGCAAATGCAAGTGAGTGTGCAAGAGCAAGCACGCAAGAACAAGCAAGCAAGCAAGCAAGTGCAAGCAAGCAAGCAAGAGCAAGCGAGCATAAGAATACATGCGACTCATAGGAATATATAGGAATCGCCATTGGAAATAGCTGGGGGGTGCCATTGGAAATAGCCATAGGAATTAAGGGGGAGGAATGGGAATTAGGGGGGGAGGGGGGGAAAACAGACCAAGTAGTAGAGAATGAGTCAGAACTCCTATATGGCAAGCCTATTTGGAGAATAATCAGCATCAACATCATCATCATCATCATCATCATCATCATCATCATCATCATCAGCATCAGCATCATCTTCATCACCACCACCTTCTTCATCATCACAATGACCAGCATCAACATATCGTCCTCGCCATCATCATCAAAATCAGCATCATCGGCATCGTCATCGTCATCTTCATAGTCGTCATCATGATCAGGTCAATCATCCGCATCATCACCATCAACATCATCATCACCACCACCACCATCCTCATCATAATCAGCATCAGCATCATCAGCATCACCATCATCACCAGCATCAGCAGCATAATCGTCATCAACATCATCATCATCAGCATCGTCAACATCACTATCACCATCATCATCTGCTCCATGTTCGTCATCATCATCGTCAGCTGCATTCTCAACATCAGTATACTCATCTTCATCATCGTAATATGCATTTTCATTATCCTCTGCATAGTCATCAGCATCGTCATCATCAGCACCATCACCATCACCATCACCGTCATCAGCATGAACAGCATCTTCATCATCATCCTTGTCATCACCCTCATCACCGTCATCAGCAATATCATCACCACCACCACCACCACCCTTAACGTAATTGTCAGCATCGTCACCAGCATAGCCATCATGACACTCAGCATCATCCTCGTCGTCATCACCATCATCACCATCGTAATCATCACACTCATCATCAGCAGCATCACACTCGGCATCGTCACCGTCATCATCCGCATCAACATCATCAACATAGGAAGATTCACCATGCACGTCACCATCGTCATTATCATCATCGGCTCTACGCTGACCTGAACCGGATATCTCTTCTCCCTGGCGCGTTCCGCAGCGGAACGCTGAATTCATCAAACAACCACGGACTGTCATTTCGTCAATACGTGTGTCGCGCCGTCGTCTTCCTGCCGCAGTCGCAGTAGGCATCGATGTGTTATACAACAACCACCAGAATCGTGGTTCACGCTCCGATGACAGTCTGAACCGCATCAGATAGCGCCTTCAACTCTTGAAGTCTGTGGTGTACGGAAGTGTACGCACGCCGCCCTGCTATAGCGACCCAAATGCATGGAATGACTCGGGGCTCCTACGGCCAGAAATATGACAAAGAACGCGATGTCATGATATCTCATGCCACGGTGGAGATGCACATGCCATGGTGCAGGTACGTCAGATGCTGCAGCTTAATTGGCAGTAGTGGGAGGGAGACCAAGAGAGATACGTCTTGGATGTTGACGATGACTAAGCATGAGCCTGGCAGCAGCGGCGGGCATGCAACTCGCATACTATAAATACCAACTCTGCTTGGGCACCCAGGTCAAGTAGAGCAGGCAGACAATGTCAGCTGGGCAATGGAGTGAACTAGCTGTCTCTAAGTGCAGCCGACCTTAGCGGTCGTTCGGAGCACCTGAATGGGAGAGTTGTGCTCACCCAAACACGGCGGGAACAAGGCGACGGGGAAACAAAGCGGCAATCAGTGAGCTTCGGGGGACGGCAGAAAAGATCACCGCTGCTCTCGGGTGCTTGCCCAGTGGGATAAGCAAAAAACTAGGGTTAACAAACTGGCGTGCCGCAATGCACACAAACATCGCGCAGGAGGCCAAGAAAGGTGCGCCTGCCACAATTCACTGAATACCTGAGTGGGCAAGTTATTCTCCCCCCTTTGCACCAATCAGTAGGGCGGCAAACAACGGCGGTCATCTGCGCACGCGTGCGGCACCAATCGTGCTGGACTGTAGCGCCGACGGCGAACGCCTGCTGCTGGGGTTGGGCGGGCACGAAACCACAAGGGCTGTGTCAGCGACGAGGCCGCCAGCGG